TTTTTCATTGCAAGTGTGTATGTCACTTGGTAAAATACCACTTACCTTGCAGACACCTAAAATGTACAAGAAGTGGTTATGAAATTGCAGACACAATAACACCATCAGACTGTGTCTCAGCACACACACACAAACACACACACACACACACACACACACACACACACACACACACACACACACACACACTGTCAATCATGACATAGCAACCATTTTAATGCTTGTCACCCTCCTTATCTATCTTAATCATCTACGGAACCCATGACTGCTTCATACTTGGAGAACAGACCAGCACAGACATTCAAGCCTGCTTTCCACTCCTCCTTGTGGAATTGTTTCTCAATGTTTTGCATTAGGTACACCAGACAGCCATGCATTCTGAAAGCTGTACTGGGCTGGTTGATGATAGTGGCAGGGCGCCTGCTCTGATGCCCTGCATTATGAGGAGCTGGTGCAATTAGCGGCAAAACCCACTCCATGGGCCCAGGGTCTACGTGTGTGAAGTGTGTGACTTGTCCTATCTGGCGGGAGCAGAAAGCAGGTGTGTGGCTGTTCTCCGGCAGGAAGCAGGGGTCTCCATAGTGAGAATATGTTACATACTGTAAGAGATATTAGGAACGTCCAGATCTCCCTGCCAGGACAGTTGCCCTAAATCGTCTACAGAGTGCTGCGCTGCAAAGACAGAGAACAGCCACTTGTTTACTACTTAGCTTTATACACCAACTCTATCTATTACCATCTTATATTACCAGATTAAGAACATTTAGTTTTCTATGTTGCAATTCAGATAGAAACGTGTAGTCTATTTATATTTCAACTGATAAATTCATAGGTGTATATCATAATGTAGTTCTCTAGGCATTTGACAGGAAGTCACTTTGTACAACTATCGTCAATGTTTTAAGCCTCCTTAGTGAGCGGAGACGAGACTCTGTCAGCTCAACTGACTCCATTGTTCTCGTACCATAGACAGTCCTGTACACAGTGATCTGGCACAAAGAAGAGGTGGAGGATGTGAGAAATACAGCATGCTGTGCTGATACTGCTGAGTATTATTTCATCCACACATGGCCATTGTGTAAATGCCTGTATGAGTCAGTCAGGGGGAAAACATAACAAAAAGGAGAGAGTACTATTCACCGCTGAACAAAGCAGTAACTCATTGAGGCTTTTCTCTTGAGAAATGCCGTTATTGTTCTGCCAAAAGCTTCAGTCCCATTTCCCAAGGTGACTGCCAGCTGAGAAGTGAGGAAGTCAAATAATTGTATGGACTATTGCACTGTGTTTCCCCCTGATCTACTCAAACAGTGGTTCGAAAAATTGAAAACTTTTTAGACAAAGAGTGGAGGAAATGTGTGGAGGTGAGAGGCAACGTCAAAATGAGAGTGAGATTTGTGTTAGAAGTTTGTACGACGACGCTGTCTTTACTCTGTGAAGACATAATAAGTGTCATCAGACCAACAGACAATGGAGATGGACAATACCTTTTAGGTGCGGTCGTCCCAGTGTCACAAATCCAGAAGAGATGAAGTTGTGATCAAGTTGGCCTTGGCGGAAGTTCTCTTTCCCGTAGTGCCCTGTGGGAGAAATGCAGAGTTAAGATAGCATGAGAAGAGACCAATACCATTTATCTGACCGAGACAATTCACTAAGCATGTTCGTTGATGATTTTCGTACCAACACTCACACACAAAATCACAAAACTGTTTACACATATCAGAGTCTGGGACACTCTTAATTCATCCAAACAGCCTAATTAATGGCAGTATTATATGATGCATTTGCCTCGTTCTTTAGTTAGCTGAATAGCTGTGTTCACGGGAGGTTGGCTTTTATGGTGTCTTAGTTCAGTTCAGCCATTACTCTGCCTCTTTATTTCACTCCCTCTTTGGCTCAGTCAACTGATAAAGGAACAGAGACACAGAAGGCAAGGTAAGTCTCACATTAACAATTTATGCTGTCTGATGTACACTCAGGATCATCACCACCGCAAAGGTCATGCTCCCCATAGCTGCGAGCTGGGGGAGCTAGTGAAGACCTTCCCTTCTGGTATCGTTCCCAAATTGAACAAAGATGCCCCTTCAGGGTCAAAAGCCTTGCCCTTTCGCCATGGCAGGTAAAACATTAAAACTTTAATTGGGTGGCAAAATGTATTTCAGGCCTGGGCACTTGACCCTGAAGGTCAGTGGAGAGATTCTAAAGAAGGCTTCTAACCGACACACTCTCCTGTGCTTTAAAACTGATTAGTTCCATCCTCAAATTATACAGTAGAATGCTTTTACCCCACATAGACCTACACTACGGAGGGACCTTATATAACTGATTAATATACTGTGTAATTGGATCTAGCTTCATAATCTGTTATAGCTGCATTGTAGTACTGTATCTATGAATTGTCAGTTTATAAAAAATGTGCCTTGCAACGCAACATTTCATCCTGGATTTCCTTGGTCTTAAAGATCACTATGTAACATCATTTGTTCCAAGATGCTATATTGTGTCTGGCTGGAACGAATCCTGTAATTGAGAGTGCAGAGGTCCACAATGGACCGTCAAAGTGCCTGCCAGCAGTCTGACAACTTCCATTTGTCCTGCCAATCAAACACCCAAATGTTGCACACAAAAAGATACAGGTAGGCTGAGAAAAGAGTGTGTATCAGACAGTGAAAGCTTAAACTGAAAATAGAGGAGAAACAACATGACGGCCTGTCTTACAGTGGCCTATTGAGCTCCACTCCCCCCACTCTCTTCCTTCCTGTTAGTGCCAGTCTGCATTAGCTGGCAAATAGTTCAACAGCCTCATCTCAATGGAGCAACTTCAAAGTCAATAGCGTCACTCAGACCTTTGGGCTATGGAGGCAGATATCGAACCGCATTTCAAATGATCATAATGAGAAGGAACAGCTGGGACCGTTACATTACATTGATGTTTGACACAGGCCTGAGCTCTGTAAAGCTTGTTTGTTTCTGTTTTCAAGCCCAAAGGATACTGTAAACTGATTACTGAAACATTTTGCCCATCACTGTTACTTTGGGATTTTCGTACTAAGAAACTGGTAAAGAAGTTGACTGTGTCCAATTTATGCTGGATAGAAAGAGGCGTTTATGTGTACGTTTTTTATCTGTTAGTAAAAGTTTGCCTTCATGAAGTCTTCTTGCCTTAGAATAATACCAAAAGGAAAATAACTACAACACATACACTACCGTTCCAAAGTTTGCGGTCACTTACAAATGTCTTTTTTTTTCGAAAGAAAAGCAATTATTTTGTCCATTAAAATAACAGCAAATTGATCAGAAATACAGTGTAGACATTGTTAATGTTGTAAATGGCTATTGTAGCTGGAAATGGCTGATTTTTTATGGAATATCTACATAGACGTACAGAGGCCCATTATCAGCAACCATCAGTCCTGTGTTCCAATGGCACGTTGTGTTGCTAATCCAAGTTTATCATTTTAAAAGGCTAATTGATCATTAGAAAACCCTTTTGCAATTATGTTAGCACAGCTGAAAACTGTTGTGCTGATTAAATAAGCAATAAAACTGGCCTTCTTGAGACTAGTTGAGTATCTGGAGCATCAGCAATTGTTGGTTCGATTACAGGCTCAAAATGGCCAGAAACAATTAACTTTCTTCTGAAACTCGTCAGTCTATTCTTGTTCTGAGAAATGAAGGCTATTCCATGCGAGAAATTGCCAAGAAACTGAAGATCTCGTACAACGCTGTGTACTACTCCCTTCACAGAACAGCGCAAACTGTCTCTAACCAGAATAGAAAGAGGAGTGGGAGGCCATTTCTCAGAACAAGAATAGTTTCAGAAGAAAGTTATTTGTTTTTTGAGCCTGTAATCGAACCCACAATTTCTGATGCTCCAGATACTCAACTAGTCTCAAGAAGGCCAGTTTTATTGCTTCTTTAATCAGCACAACAGTTTTCAGCTGTGCTAACATAATTGCAAAAGGGTTTTCTACTGATGAATTAGCCTTTTAAAATGATAAACTTGGATTTGCAAACACTACGTGCCATTGGAACACAGGACTGATGGTTGCTGATAATGGGCCTCTGTATTCTTTGTTGTATGTTTTCTATGTTTCGATCTATTATGTATAGATCTATGTTGGCCGGTGTGGTTCCCAATCAGAGGCAGCTGTAGCTCGTTGTCTCTGATTGGGGATCATACTTAGGCAGCCTATTGGCACTAGTGGGTTGTGGGATCTTGTTCCGGGTAAGGTTCGTTGTATGTACAACCTTAGGACATCACGTTTTTGTTTGTTTGTTGTTTTGTCGTGTGTTTATTCAGTGTAAATAAACATGTACGTATATCACGCTGCGCCTTGGTCTGACCCGTCATTAAACGAACGTGACAGCATACAGCAATTCACAACAGAAAGATGAGTCATGTCAGAAAGGAGGCCACAAGGGATGAAGACCAATTACAGGACTGACATGAACCCAAACAGAGTCAGCCTCTAGGGAAGTATCCAGCACAGTCCACAATCTCTTAATGTAAAACACTGGGGAAGTATCCAACACAGTCCACAATCTCTTAATGTAAAACACTGGGGAAGTATCCAGCACAGTCCACAATCTCTTAATGTAAAACACTGGGGAAGTATCCAACACAGTCCACAATCTCTTAATGTAAAACACTGGGGAAGTATCCAGCACAGTCCACAATCTCTAAATGTACAACACTGGAGTGCCATGGTAGTCTGGAGGTCACTTCAGGGTTAACATGATGGATCAATTAAGCACAGAGCTGTTAGAGGGGATGAAAGCCGAAAAGGGGTTAAACAATCCTAGTTTTGGGCAACTGTGAAATGGCAGTCAAAGTGGTTATTGATTCCTATGAGAACTATTGAAGTGTCAAGTGCTAGAATTCAGGCAAACATAACTGTAACTACCTCTGCTGGATGGCCCTTACAGTAGTTTCATTTAACGAACTGCACATACCAGCAGCTGTGGCTTTTGTGTCCCAAGTCAAGTCTGAGAAAAGCGTCTCACATCCCGTGGTGTAGCACGTAACAGTTCTCCTCTGACACAATCCCTGGATGAGGAGGAGAGTCTACTTTGACACGAGAGTGAAACATAACACTGAATCTGGGACACCATACTAGGGCACTTAGCAAGTGATCCCCGGAGCAGGGATCTGGAGACTGGATAAAAGAAGGAGGAACAGCGTCGCAAGACAGAATTATCTCCGGACAAAAGCAATGTGTCTCCCGAAGAACATGTTCATTTGCATCTCCATTTTGAGCCAATGCTGAGTAGGCTTATGGAACCCCAGCATGAAAATAGACTCAGCCGAGGCCCTTTGTCTAAACTGCTATATCTTCTTAAGTCTTAAAAATATATACTTAAGTAGCAGGGACCCATCATCAGTGTTGGGGAGTAATGAACTACATGTGGTTCAACTAGCAATTTAAATACATTTTACAGTAGCTTGGTGGTAGTTCAACTAAATTCAAATCCTGGTAGTGTTTTCAGTAGTTCATTACTTGTTTTCAATGTAGTGGTGTAGCTTACTACTAGAACTACACACTACTTTTTTTTGCAAAAAGAATGGGTGAAGTAGGGAAGAGTTTCCTTTATTTATGCCTAATTCTAACTCGAAACACTTTTTGTGTGCCTAATTTTCACTTTTTGAGTTTAATAGGCCAAAATACACATTCTGTTAACATCTGTCTCCAGAGTGATCTGTTCTTGCAATTTGTAGTCTGTGACATTTAAGATTCAGGTATGATAATTTTTCACTAAGTAGTAACTTTAAGGGTAGCTTTAGTGTAGTTTAACTTCCTCCAGTGTGGGTAGATTGGTAAACTAGTAGCTTCACACAGCACTGCCCATCATCTATTTCAGTGAGTGTGTCAAAGACCATCTTGAACAATAATGAAAGCAATACGGTCCCACTTTACAATGCAAAGGTCTCATACCATAGAAATAACATTGTTGTACACATGTCAGCGAAGTGTAATGACAGTAGAATTATATATACTGTTACATAGAAGCGTGTACAATGGAGATTACTGTGTAATCATAAAAAGCTATTGAAAGTCCATAATAGAATGTCACCTTCTTATTCAGTCATCTTTGCCTGTCTCGTTTCTATGAGATTTATATAGATCTACCACCATAATTCCTACCAATTAATATATATGAAATTCAGACTGGATCTCCACCACTTATAGAATTTAACTGAGGGCAAAGAATATGGCTTTAATAACACCACCTCTATCATGTTCTCATGACATTTATATTGAACCTCTTTTCATTTCATTTACCTGAAGAGAGTATCTAACTATTTAACATAATCTCTGTTTCCATAGTAACGCTGTCATCTTGGGTATCGATTTTATACAGAGAAAGGACTTTGATTCACCTCATAGTGCACCATGCAGCGTACTAGAGGTAAAGACCATTTTCAGAACCTATGCTTAGGCCAAATACTGTATCATTTTTGCTAGATATTCTTGGATATGTGAAGTAAAAACTGTGCAGGTACCCACCGTGGTTTGCTAGCATGGTGTGAACTGGGGTGTAATGGTTCTTGGACGTTCGGAGAGGTGTGTCTATGTCTTTGGGTGAACCCTCCAACGCTGCAATATTTTCGTTCTCCTGATTTAGTCCTTGTTGCCTCAAAATGTCTGCAAGGGCTCTGCAAAATAAATTAAAAAACACAGATGCAATTTTAGCGTTTTCAGACTATACAAACAGAAACAGAAACACTTTCCTGTTTTCAATCACCGACAACCATTATTCTCAACATCCCCAGAAGGCCTACTTAATTTATTTAGTTACAGCTCCAATTGTGTTGGTGGAGCTCCAGAACCAGGCACAGTGTAAAGTGTAATTACACCCAAGGTGGCCAATAGGCCAGGTTTCAATACTGAGCCACACTGAGTACAGATGGGCCTTTCCCTTCAGGCCATGGGAAAACAGCTAAAGCCATTCATCAATATTCCTAGAAGAATGTTCTGGTAGAGCTATACGCCCCCACTACTAAGGTTCAAATGGGAATCTAACTCCTACCAAGTTACCAATTTTCAAGGGCTCTACACAAAGGATCTTGCTATCACCATTTTCAACACTGGCCCCTATTGAAGTAAAGTGGTGAGGATGGCGGACATATTGCTTTCTTCAAAGAGCTGAAAGGGTAATTTAACTGTGTCAAAGTCGACCTGAGTCAACTTCTTTCCATAACTCTGTGTGACTTTGGGAGCTATGTATTAATAGCCTTTCCCTTCTAGGATGGGCACACTTTAACCATATCCTTTTCACAGACTGAGGCGACCTGGTTTTCATCGCCCCAGTTGACTACTTTGTGTCTTGTATAGCAGGAACACGTACAACCAGTCCCACATAGTGGAGGAATAGAGGGGCTTTTGAAAAATATAGTGTTTGAAAGCCCCGAAGTCTAGACCAGTCACAGTTTCCTCTCCTACAAAATATCTTAGGTAAATCATGTTTCAATAGCACCAGTTCATTTCTATGTATGGGAAGGAAAAAAAACATCTACAAGAAATGGGAACGTATAAAATAATCTTCAAACGATACACCCATCATCCATTGAGGGAGAAAAGTAAATACTCTTTAAAGAAGAGAAGTGAAAATAAATGATCTTCTAATTCCCTTCACACTGCACTTGCAACACATGACAGAGGATGTAAATCTGTCTTGTTGGTTATCAGAGGGTCTTGCATCAACAGTGAAATGGGATTTTTTTTAGCTACTGTTATTTTAACACATTTCTACATTGTCAAAAGAGATAAGGAAGCCTAGAATGTGTTTACAGATATGGCGACATGTTTGCAATTATTTCAGAATGAGACAGAGATTTAATTATTATGAGCATGTGGTGCAGATGTTCAACAAGTCTATCATCTGCATTCTAAACGGATTAGTTTAGTTTATTATCATCCCCATTAGCTACTGCACTTGCAGCAGCTACTCTTCCTGGGGTCCACATAAAATGTACAAATACATGACAAAGTACAGAACAGTTATAGACAAGAACCACATTAAATATTACATTAAATTCAAAAATCAAAAATGCACATAAAATAAGAGTTATATATTGGAAAGACACCAAGAAACAATAAAAATACTATTTACACACTATTCATATATACATATTCATATTCTTATATACAATACAATTACATCAAATCTTTATAAAGAGGAGAGATGCTGTGATACAATATGTTTTTTTAAAATCTGTTTTTTAAAGCTAAACTTGCTTTTTGCCTGAGTAACCTCTGGTGGCAGAGCATTCCATGATGACATGGCTCTATACATACAGTAACTGAGCGATGCATTAAATCTGTTTTTGGTTTGGGTACAGTGAAGAAACCCATAGTGGCGTATCTGGTGGGGTATATACAGTATGTCTGTTTGAAGTGTATGCATATAGATTATACAAGTGGTTAGGCATTTTCAACACACACACATTTCTTAAAAAGACTAGAAGAGAAGTAGCACATTTCACCTCAACCCTCAACCATGAAAGACTCATGCATGTTATTGATATTAGCTCTGTGTGTACAGTTAAGGGCAAGGCGTGCTGCTTTTTTATTTGCCAACTGCAGCTTTGCTAGGCATTTCTCTGCTGCACCTGACCATTTACCAATTAAAATAGGTTAAAAAGCATTGGGGAGAAAAAAATGGAAACCAATGTGAATTTCTACTCCCCTTGGATCCTGAACTCCACAAAATTTTGCCAAGCCATTATTCATGGCTGAATATATATGTTAGAACATTATTGTAGCATTGACCCTGCCTTTCAGGTTGTCATTAATCTCGGTTAACCCAGAACTAAAATATTTTATAATATGGTCAGATGCTCGAGGACCAGTACCAGTACCAGTTAGGTTTATATACGGGAGACATTGCAAAGTCATACTATCTCACCAATCACCCAAAATCTGCTTCTTGCCAATATTATGGTAAAATCGCTCAAAAATGACATATTTAATCTTGCTGCTTGCAGGTCATTAGAAATTATATTTGAATTTATTGGAACTGACTCTCTCTGGCATAACAAAACCTAATATGTGCTCAATCTGAGAGTAGACTACCTTTTTTGCAACAGATCCATCTTAAATTGCATCCAGGTTTGCTTTCGAGAAAGTGATCAATAAAGACCACTCAAATCCCTGGCTTTGGCTTTCACCCGACATTTCTTGTGTCTCGATGAAGGTCACAGCAAAGGTCTGCCAATGCCTTAGCATTCCCCTCACAATCCTTCCCCAGTCACTGAGGTAAAACTCTGAATCACTTTACAGGGCTAAATAAATTAACAGAGGAAGCAAACCATTGCCTAGTATATAGTCAATCCCATGTTCCAATACAGCTTTCTAGACACGGTTGTCAGCATGGATGTCTCAAGCCAGCCACAGAAGTTTATTTTTCCCCCCGGCAGAGATCATTATGACAGCACTGTGCCAAATGATTGTTGGAAATAAACAAATCATAAAAAAAGCTATTGAATGTCCGCTATGCAATGTCACCTCGTTTAGTCATCCCTGCTTTGGCTGCATTTACACAGGCAGCCTAATTCTATTTTAATTTTTTTTTACACTAATTGGTCTTTTGACCAATCACATCAGATATTTTCACATCAGTAATTTATTTTTGCTGATCTGGTTGGTCAAAAGACCAATTCGTTTTTTTTAAAGATCAGAATTGTGCTGCCTGTGTAAACGCAGCGTCTGTCTCATCTCTCTCACCACCACTCATACTGATGTGGTGGTGGCAGTAAGCATCTCCATTTGAAAGTATGCCCCATGGCTAGGATAGGAGAGCATTAAGGGGCCATAAATCCTCACAGTTTCCTCAGTTCTGAGTACTGAGATGGAGGCACTGCTACAGCCTCAGAAGTTTAATAGTCTTTAGTGGGATCAAAGTGAGTCGTTTGGTAGGTTGCATGAAATAGCTTTGAATAGAACTGTAGGAATACACTAGAGACAGACAGATATTGGTATCATATTTTCTACTTGTACTGTCATCTTTGAAACTGTCAAGGTAATGGCTTGGCTTGCACTTAAGGATTCTATATTTGAACGTCACTCTACATGCAGAAAAATGTGTCTGAGAAAATTAGCTCTTAAACCAAAGGCCTTTACTTGACACCATCTATTGTTGTGACTATTAAATCAATAGCTATTGAGGTTGTAGACATAACCATGACTTTTCTAAAGGAAAAATGAATGGGGGGCACTGATCCAAGGCCTTGTTCTCGTGTCTATATTTTGTCAACAGAGCTGTCCACCTGAAAGACTTCTCTTCAGACCCAGATGTTTAGTAAACTGAAGAAAAAAAAAAAGTTTCCTTTCTAATGCTTTGATATGCATTGTTCAGCTAGGAGTCAATGACAATTGACAGGTTGAAGCATGGCCTTCTAACAACAGTTTGAGTGTGAGTCATCTAACAGCAGAAGTATCAATAGAGAAAAACAGGTGCTGAGGTTAATGGATGTTTTGCAAGAGAGACAGATCCGTGGTTATGGATCCCTGTCATGAGAAGATGGCAGTCAGTGTCATCCTTGGAACTTACCCCATATTGAACATCTGGCCACCACTACAATTCAAGCTGCATTTAACCCCAAACAAAGGTCTTCCAGTCTGCTAGACCAGCGACTATATCCATTAGGCTAGTGGTACAAATTATCTCTAGTGGAGAAACATCCATTTTCTATCTAGGGTTGATGCCATAGGAGGGGCTTGCATGAGAATGGGTACAAATGAATGCTGCATGGACTCTTGAGAACAATCAATCTGAATTCCAATCACTGCCTTGATTTTGTGGAGCCAGCAGGTAACGAGGCTACAGAAGCCAGTCCTAGCAAGGCACAATTAGCCTCACATTGGCTTTAATCAAGATCTTAGCTTTGGCTGAACAGGTAGACAACCCCCTCTGCTATGGGCTAATAGACACCAGACCACCATTAGACAACCACAATGATTGGCTAACAACATGTGGCTTCTCCACCCAAACTGTCTCTTTGGGTACTGTGTCGTTATAGCTTTTCTTGCAAGGCATAGGTATACTACTCACATAGAACACAGTGAGTGAATTAGATAGCTGCTGGCTTAATCTGCATAATTCCTCATGGCGTGTTGATGTCTGAGCACAAAACCCCTAACATACTCCTCCACTTTGGAAGGTTAACTGTCTTTTAATTCAGACTACGGTGCAGTAGTTGCTCTCCTAGCTCTAGGAAGTGCTTAACAATATAGTCAAGGCTTCTAATGTGTCATGGAAAAAAGCACCAGCTTCAATAATTGCGGAGGCAATTTGTTATTTTCAGCACATATCCAATTACTTGCAAATTGTTGGACTGCAGAGTGCCTGATTATAAGGATTGGTGGTACAGTATATATTCATTCGATTCATAGGGACATAATATAATTAATACATTGACACATTGATTCCTCAACAGTTAGATGTATTCTACCATGATGTGTTTAGCTCATACTTTCCCAACAACAGTCCATCCATGGGCCATTATACCGTAAGATAAAAAGTAAATCAAAGGAAGGGAGAGTGACATCCTAAATCCATACTGTACAGTATGTCCTCTGGGTTGTTAGCAGTGAAGCAACCCAACCTTGCTCCTAGCCTGATTGTTATACCATGACCATGAATGTGATGCCTTTTCTTTGACAGAGACATTCAATTCAATGGACCTTTGTGGTCCTCTGTAGCTCAGCTGGATGAGCACGGCGCTTGTAACGCCAAGGTTGTGGGTTCGATCCCCGGGACCACCCATACACACACACAAAAAAAAATATCATGCACGCATGACTGTAAGTCGCTTTGGATAAAAGCGTCTGCTAAATGGCATATTATATTATTTATTATATCATTCCACACCTGCCTCATGGAGGTTTGTTTGTGCTGCTGATGAAAACTGAGCAATACTTTAGTATACAGAGACATTTAATGTTCTGGTGGTAGTGGTGGTGGTAGTGGTGGTAGTAGTGGTGAATCAGGTTGACTGTCATTTGGGGGACTGTGTATATCTGCATAAGAGAGGTATTTGAAAGGGAGTTGATTGTAATGATTAGTTTTCCTTTGCATAATGGCTTGCAGGTGGTGTAAAAAAAATGTACAGAGAGGAATGAAATTGAGCATCATTATGAATTATGGCTTTCCCTATTCAAAAGTTGAGCATATAGCTGCACACCTGTGATGATCATATTTATATGCATCTTTGTGATGAAGTGCTCATGATTTAGTCTATTCACAAATCTAATTTAGCTTTCTATAGCCACTGTACACATTTTTACTGTCATCAGGAGACTTTTCATGTCTGTGAAAACTGAAGCTGGTGTTTCATAACAGTGATCACACAAACAATCACACACATACACACACAGACACACACACAGACACACACACACACACACACACACACACACACACACACACACACACACACACACACACACACACACACACACACACACACACACACACAGAGAGAGAGAGAGAGAGAGGAAAAAGTGGCCACCATAGTAAATGACTGTTTCTTAACCTGAATGTCAGAGTGACTTACCTATGGACATTCATTTCCTGAGGGGGCTTGGTTGCTTTGTCGTAGGCAACTTTTGCAGAAACTCCGAGGAGGATGATAAAAGCTATGACACCACAGGTGATGTATACCGTTGTGTTAGTCTGATCCAAGTCAGGATCGTAAGTGTCACCTGTTGGTGCCGGGGAGGGAGGCTGCGTTTTGATCCAATCTGGGGTGTTATAATTCGTGCAAGTTTTCTGTTCTATGCGTTTCCCTTTTTCTGCACAGCAATAGCGCAGGAAACAACTTCCACAACAGTAGCGGTGCTCAGTGTTGTTGCACTCGAACACTTTATCATACGCTCCGCTCACGTCGTAGTAGCCCAGGCACGTGTCATGGGTAGCGATTGAAGGTGCCTGGACCTGGGTGTTTCGCCGCGGAACCGCCGTGGGCGCCTCCGTGCTGTTCACCTCCTTCATCTTCTGATTCCGCTTTGGAGCGTTTTTCTTCTTGTTGGCCGTAGCCGCGCACATTACATTCAGAGGGTCCAAGTAAATCAAAAGAAGCAGAAGATGCTGTATCCCCATGATTTGAGGTTGTATGTCTTTGCTGATGCGATCGTTTGCCCCCACTTTTTTAGTTGTATGCTTTCTCTCCTCACACGAAGACCTATGCTTCTTTACCTAATCGTGCTCCTGCCACTGACCCAGTCTTGCGGCTGTCCACAGGAGTTCATTTCCGAAGTCCTTCTCCAACTGTCCACTGCTGAGAGTGTCATGCTCTGGTTGAGGGAAGGACCCTTCTTGCACCAATCAATTGCAGTCGGACGACGGTGTCACACATTGTGCACCATCTTCCGAATTTAAGTGGAGTTCTGTGGTCATCGGGGGACTTTTGGGTGGAGGAAGTGTCATTTGGATTCAGCTTGAGAAATGGGCTGAAGAACCCCCTCCGGATATATCCGACAATGCCATCTACCATAAGTATATCTTTATTAGCAAAGCTCTAAATCTTGTACATTTTTTTTCCCTGTAGAGAAGAAAACAGGAGAGAAAGACAGAGATTCAGTAAATTCCTAATGTAAAAAAAATAATTTGTTAAAATAAAATAAAACGAACAAACATTTTGCATAAGAAAAATAACATAACCATTTGCACCAAATTAAATCTAATTTTATGAATTGCGTATCAATGCCAACTAAACAGGTGCATATGAATGCGCGTAAAACCATTATGTTCAGTCAAACAAACGTTCCCTCACAGACGCGCAAACTGTTTCAACACCATGGACAGCGCAACACAGCGCTATGCGAATATATCCTTGAGTAGTTCTTTGTGCTATGCTTTCTATTTTGGAATGTCCACTTCAAAGTTATAACGCAGACAAATAAAAAGTCTTAACACATTTTCCAGATAAAAAGCCTCACATATTCAATGCTGGTTGTTTCCCCCCTCTTTTCTTGTACGAAGTTTACTTTCCTCCAGCTCTATTCATGGAGAGAAGAAGGCGAATCTAACTAAACGTTTGTACAAAAGACAACGAAAATCACCCAGCAACGAAACAGATAAGCACTTACCCGTTGGGGTGTCTCGACTCTACCACAGACTGAACCAAAGTACCTCAGCTCGGCGTGAGACCCCGCTCTGCTCCGACCCGACTCCATCCCCCACTCCCCCCTCCACATGAGTGCATCTACGTCACAAATACAGGTACCTCAGTTAATTAGAAACCGGCCCCTGACAGCAGTGCGCTCAGTCATGCCTACAGGCTGCACTCAATAATCTGGACCATTCTAGAACTGCATTAGAGCTTTCTATTTCAGAGCGCAACATTGGTGGTGTAAATCTTCGCTCTACTGCACAATGCTGCATTCACTCATACCATGTAACAACAGCATGTTGCAATTGTTGGTGCTTCTATATAGTTGGCTTTTATGCCCTATTATGCGAGAGATTGGGACTGATCTGTTTTAGGTAATACAATAACATGCCACAATATGCTGGTAATACACAATTTAACATGACATGATAGCAGAGTTTGCCTCCAGGCTATTGGAATGTTCCATTCTGGTGTTCAGAAAAATGGTTATATTTCCCAAGACATTGATATCTAATCTGGAATGTGGCTTGTTGGAAAGAGAGACAACATACATTACAACAGAATGCAGTTGGTTAATATTCAGTGAAAAAGCTGCATTACAGCTAACACACTTACTTATAGGAGGCTCCAGAAACCGCAGTAGCCTCATTTTCAATGAAAGGCACTGCATCATGTTCAACCTCCATGTAATTTTGGATGAGGCAGTGGAGACTGAAAAAGAACAATGGCCTACATAATTGACACCAGCCCCTAGTTCATTGGAGGTTCCTCGGAGACCTTGTGCAATCTAAATCTAACAATCCCTATCGTTTCAGACAACTCTACATATTTGATGTACTTTCCCCCCTCATTGTTCATTTCTACAGGTTTGTGTACTTTCAGTTGTGTTTGATCCATATTACAAGAAAAGGATGAGTATGATGAGCTACTGTTAATCTCCAAGCACAATGAGTTACTTTGTGGCCCATGGTTGAATGACGTAGCCTTTTTAACCTTGTCCACACATTGAGTTGCATGTTGAAGACAGCGAGGCCTTTGAAGTGAAATCCCTAAACTCCACGCTGCCCCTGACAGTGTTCAGAAGCTAATATGACAAGGAGACACGATAAGGGCACATGGCTTTTGATGAATGTGTTTCTTCACTGGATGCTATGGACGGCAGCATTTGCAAATTAGCCCCCCAACTCTCTGTCAGTCAAAATGGCACATCAGATGTCATATCGAGCACGAAGGGAAGAAGGATTGTCCATTAGTGTTTAACAGCTTAGGGCGGAGAAAGCAAGCATCAGCAAAAAGCATTGACAGGTAACGACTGGGTCGACATTGGCTCAGGAATAATGAGACCATTCCTCAGAAGAATGAAATCATTAGGATTCCAACCTGGGAATTCTGCCCTCTTGTTTTCTCCTAATTAAGTGGAATGAGCAACATCTTGAAACAACAACTAATTGGAAACAATACTGTCTAATAGTATGTTTTATCCAAACAGAAGACTAAGTGACAATAATGATGTGTCATTGTTATGATGACATCATGAATATGCCCCAACTGTACCACATTTGTTTGCTGTGTGTCTAAACTCTGCTCTTTCAATCAGGGATTGTATGTGGATCTTGTTTGGGCTTCAGCTCAGAGCATAACCAAAATGTCTGCCCTAGTTCTTATGGAAAACAGAGTAGTGTGTAATGTTGAAATGTTTGGGTATGTTTTGAGTTAATGGAACTGTCAAAACATGTTTAATCAAAAAAGCAAAAACTCTTGGAAAAATGAATTGTTTAAGGCATTTGTATAAGATTTGATAAGATCTGAATTCTTAGAAGTACCAACAGCCCACATACATGTATTCCAAAGTCCCACAATCATTGAGTCTGGAAGGGTTATGCTAAATCTATGTGAATGTCCTCTGAGATGTAGAAGTAAACCCACTTCAAACTACCAATACACCTTTCAATTTAATGGGACATATGTAATGGCACCCTATCTCCCCCATTTTGACAGGCCCAAGCGATCTCCCCTCCACAGCAGATATGCATGGGGAAATTAGTCGATGTTATCAAAGTTAATCATTTGGGACCTACTAGGCAGCTTCTGTGTGGCCTACTACTTATCTCCAATTTCAGAGTAAAGCCAGAACCACATAGTTGTTACTGACTTCAAACACTTTTGCCGTATCTACAGTGGGGAAAAAAAGTATTTAGTCAGCCACCAATTGTGCAAGTTCTCCCACTTAAAAAGATGAGAGAGGCCTGTAATTTTCATCATAGGTACACGTCAACTATGACAGACAAAATTATATTTTTTTTCTCCAGAAAATCACATTGTAGGATTTTTTTATGAATTTATTTGCAAATTATGGTGGAAAATAAGTATTTGGTCATTAACAAAAGTTTCTCAATACTTTGTTATATACCCTTTGTTGGCAATGACACAGGTCAAACATTTTCTGTAAGTCTTCACAAGGTTTTCACACACTGTTGCTGGTATTTTGGCCCATTCCTCCATGCAGATCTCCTCTAGAGCAGTGATGTTTTGGGGCTGTCGCTGGGCAACACGGACTTTCAACTCCCTCCAAAGATTTTCTATGGGGTTGAGATCTGGAGACTGGCTAGGCCACTCCAGGACCTTGAAATGCTTCTTACGAAGCCACTCCTTCATTGCCCGGGGGGTGTGTTTGGGATCATTGTCATGCTGAAAGACCCAGCCACGTTTCATCTTCAATGCCCTTGCTGATGGAAGGAGGTTTTCACTCAAAATCTCACGATACATGGCCCCATTCATTCTTTCCTTTACACGGATCAGTCGTCCTGGTCCCTTTGCAGAAAAACAGCCCCAAAGCATGATGTTTCCACCCCCATGCTTCACAGTAGGTATGGTGTTCTTTGGATGCAACTCAGCATTCTTTGTCCTTCAAACACGACGAGTTGAGTTTTTACCAAAAAGTTCTATTTTGGTTTCATCTGACCATATGACATTCTCCCAATCCTCTTCTGGATCATCCAAATGCACTCTAGCAAACTTCAGACGGGCCTGGACATGTACTGGCTTAAGCAGGGGGACACGTCTGGCACTGCAGGATTTGAGTCCCTGGCGGCGTAGTGTGTTACTGATGGTAGGCTTTGTTACTTTGGTCCCAGCTCTCTGCAGGTCATTCACTAGGTCCCCCCGTGTGGTTCTGGGATTTTTGCTCACCGTTCTTGTGATCATTTTGACCCCACGGGGTGAGATCTTGCGTGGAGCCCCAGATCGAGGGAGATTATCAGTGGTCTTGTATGTCTTCCATTTCCTAATAATTGCTCCCACAGTTGATTTCTTCAAACCAAGCTGCTTACCTATTGCAGATTCAGTCTTCCCAGCCTGGTGCAGGTCTACAATTTTGTTTCTGGTGTCCTTTGACAGCTCTTTGGATATGGTTGCTTTCATGCCGTTTTCCGGGGAATGCACCAGCACATAGTAAAGAACCACAACATGGTCCAGGGGGATATGTCAAAGAAAGTTTGGACCCATGTGGCATGTGGAGAGAAAGTGAGCATGGAGGGATGGAAGGAGAGTGTTATGGTTAGAGAGAGGAGGAGGAGGAGGAGGGGGTTCTGGCCTGTGTCTGTTCCACCACACCATGCTATCAGAGAGAGACAGAGTAAAGAGGACCAGCAGCCAGTCTGGGGAAAATTAGAGCAAAGCTGTAGCAGCACTGCCTCTCTCTCCCTCTTTCACTTTATCAGCCCCAGCAAAGCTGCACAGCCAGCACTGACTGAGGCAACTGCTGCTGCTGCTGGCACGCTCAGACTATGAAAGGAGTGGCTGTCTATGTGGTGTGCTGTTAGCGGTTAACGCCACAAACCCTTATCTCTCTCAAACACATCAGTGCTCTGTGATTCAGAGGAAGGGCATAGTAGAAGGGTCGGTTAAACTTCCATGTGGACTGATTGTTACTTACTTGACGTGACACTGTGTGATGTAGTTCACTACTTGGGTATTGAACATCATGATA